AGTGCAGCTTATACAAGATCACCAGAAATTTTCCCATTCATTTAGTTTGATTTGCTCCATATAGAATCCTGAGATATTAAACCCTGAGGGGTTCAGCAATGCTCCAGGCTGGGCTGGCTGGCACAAAACACCTCTTGTCATGCTTAACTCAGGAACATCCAATACTGGATAAAAAGTTTACATGAATTTATGCTTCAGAATTTTTAGGAAGATGAAATCATTCAGTACGACCTAAAGCTTTCTACAGTCTCTGATGTAAGGAAATTTGCCTTCCAAATAAAACACCAACTCACATCACGTACAAGTTGTAAACCTTTAAAATGTTAGCTTTCACAAAATGCTGAAATGAGTTTAACAATTACCAAGTAGCACAGATGTAGATAATATAAACAGACATGACATCTATATGAGTGTAAAGACTATTAAAAGAAGCATTTGCATGGTTTTTAAGAAAAAGGTTCAAAGCTTTTCTATATAACATTCCATTGCAACATCTGGGATACAAAGAAGAACACAAGTGATACAATTTAGTCTATTCCTGTAGACTAAATAAAGGAAGGAAGATAACAAAGGACTTTCAAAAACACACAATAAAGTATCACATTATATCCACTTTTCATCTGCAAAAGCTCAGAATCTCATCTGACAAAGTATGAAGTCTATTTGTCTGAGAGTTCATTAGGATTTCTGGAGTAACTAATGTAGAGGTATAGAGAAAGCCATTAGCTCCATTTGTAGAGAAGGCTATCCACCCTTTCAGTTGGAGTTTGACTGGGCCAGTGTTTTTTCTTTATTTAGCACATTCTGGCAAGTTGATACAAGTTTTCCAATACTTTTTTTTTTTTTTTTTTTTAAATCTTGACCAAAAATTAAAAAACTCTGGCCTTTCCATCAGCTGCATGACTGTCACGGTTCCTTTGCATTTGCCCTCATCCACCTTTCTTCAAGAGATTCATAACGTAAAACATGCCGCTCAGTGCAATTACTGCTGCTCTCTCCAAAAAACCTTCCTACGCTAACATCAGTCACCACCAATATTCTAAGAATCACTCAAATCTATCAAAATTGATCTTCAAACTCTCATTAATCCCTCCAAGCCCTCTTTGTAAGCATAGCTTATCTCCATATGGTGTCGCCTGTCAGTCAACACAATTCACAGGACTATTTGGAACACTCACAGCACGGGATTGTCCGGCCTATCAAGGAGACCAAAGTCATCCATTACCCCAGCATGATGCTTAAATGGAAATTGCTGCTTGGGGCACATGGTAATGCACAGATGCATTAAAAGACTGAAAACAGCAATAGACTCAGGGTGATATACAGCACATCAGTGCAGGCTGATGCCCCCAATTTCTTCTTTCCCTGAAAACTCAAATACTGTTGCAAACCAAGACTTCAGGCTAGATATACTCTAAATCATACGGATAATGAGTATTTTTTACAGGTATTTGCAACTCGTTTGCCTAGTGATACATACTTCCAATACTAATACTTTTTGGGTACTAACCATAAATAAATTGTTTACATTCAATTTTAAAAAGTGCACTTTATCTCATACACCTGAAACAGCTACCAATATTTTTCTGTAGACAAGAACAGTTTAGAGTGTAAGAGAGAAGGCTGATTCTCTGCAATAATTCACTGTCAGAATGACAGCTGCCATTCTTTGCTGACTCAATATAAATAGATAGCAAAACCATCACATTTAATCTGCCTTCTTGAAAAGATCTTCAGAGAAAGGGGTGAGATGACAAATGGTGTGAATTTCTCTTAAAAACCTCCAATCTCAGTGATTGTCCAGTCCACCAGGAAAAAACTGGCTAGCTGCTAACCACAAAGTACTTTGTCCCACTCTGGGTTCCTCAGTTCAAGAAAGACAGGAAACTTCTACAGAGTCCAGTGGAGGGCTGCAGAGATAATGAGGGGCCTGCAGCACCTCCCTTATGAGGAAAGGCTGAGAGACCTGGGACTGCTCAGTCTGGGAACAGCAGACTGGGGAGGAGGAGGGGAGGATCTTATGTATGCTTATACATACCTGAAAAGAGGGATCAAATGGATAGGGCCAGGCTCTTGTCACTGAGCACCACTGAAGAGAGCCATCAAGCACGAACTGAAACATAACAAGTTCTACACAAAATTGGAAAAAAAACAAACAAACAAAAAAAACCAACAAAAAACAAAAGCCCTACTTTGACAGTGACAGAGCATTAGAACAGGCAGCTCAGAGAGGCTGCGGAGTCTCCTGCTCTGGAGATATTCCAAATCCTCCCGGATGATTTTCTGCATAATCTACTGTAGGGAACCTGTTTTAGCAGGGAGTTGGATTGGTTGATTTTCAGAGGTCCTTTCCCAACTCTACAATTCTGTGATCCCGTTAATAATGCACCACAGCAATAGATATTTCAATCCTTTTATCCAGTTGTTCTACCTAAGCAGTGACAAGCTGAAAACAACGATGCACTCTCTTTCCAAAAACTATGTATGAAATAATAGGAAGTGCAAAGATGCAAATCGTAGATCAAGGGATGAGACAATCGCAAGACAAAACATGAGCTTTCAAGCATTCTGAAATAGATCTGCAGCAGCAGACTACAAAGCAAATTTAAGAACAACAAAAAAAGAACAATTCCAACAAAAAAACAATACACAAAAACATCCACAACAATAAGTGCCTGCAGCCTCAATATTTAAAAATAAGTCTTAAAAGTGGAAGGGGGGGGAGCAAAGGGACACAAAATAACAGTCCTGGGCAGAGATACTTGAGGCATCTAAACGGAGATGTAATGGACTACCTGAAGGCTTTGGACCATTAGGACTTTTACTGGAAAACAGAGCTGAAACATACAGAAAGAGTATCTTCCACCACAGTTGGCCATAAGCAGTTCAGACTTCCAGGTCTTAGAATTCTCACTGTATATAACTCAGTTCCTGTAAAACAATGTTTCTAGTAGTTTACAACATACAGAAAATCCTAAATATATGAATCAAGTTTCAGCCATCATCTACCAATTCCCAGCTGCTCAATCCTTTCACCCTTCTTGTACAAGCTTCAAAACTCTTGATCATGGAAGCAAACTGATTCAGTTTGCTAACAGAGAAGAAGAATGTCCACGTTTTCTTCTTGGCTCGTTTCCTACTTGTTTAACATACCAAATCATCTCAGTGCAGACTGGGACAAAGCTAGATGCAAGGCTGAACGTGAAGCATGAGGTTGGGAAGAGAACAAGCTCTTCCTTTTGAGTGACAGTTAACTAGAATACTAAATAGCTGGAAACCTGCTCTGTTCATCCCTTCTCTAAAGATGTAACACTGTGCACTGGAGGAGTGCAAAAACACTATCCAGCTTATATTGTAGTCCTGGGAAGAGAAAAGGCTCAGAACATTCATCTGAAAAGACTTGATCTTCTTGGCAGAATCCACTCGTAAGTGCTCAAACAGAATAGGTTCCTCTACTGCTGAAGACGAGACAGGAGTTTAAAGGTCTTATTGCAGAGATTTTAAATACCAGAAAACAGAGCAGTACAAGGGGAGTCAGTATTACAAAACTGATTAAAAGGCACCAAACGCTTCTTTTTTTAAGGAGTTAAAACCTGGAAGACAAAACACGGCAAGTGAATAAAATAACCCTCACTTCTGATAAAATAATAATTATAAATATATAAATAAAAATTATAAATATAAAATAAGTAAAAATAAATACCAGTACCTAAATATTTTCAAACCTGTATTTCTAAATTATGTTTTAATACAGTAAAAGAAAGGATTATTTTTTTTTATTATTATTATTATATTTTTTTTTTACTCCTCCAGTTATTTTAAGGTATTTATGATCCTGATGTCTGCTAAGTCTCTAGAGGTCCTAGAAACAATAGGCCAACAAGAACTTGCATTACAAATGAAATCCCAAATGAACTTTCTCAGTCTCCTGTGCAGCTGCAGCTGAAAATGGAATATTACAGTGGTCATTCAGTTCAATAGTCAGCTGTTCAGCTGTCTTTTTAGAATGATTGGGATTCATGAGGCTTCATTCTAAGTGTACAGCACAAGATAATGCTGAACTCTTTACCACAGAGGCAAAAAATTACACTAGCTTTCCCCAACAAAGGTAGATAATATGCAACTCCACTATCACAAAGTAACAAGGTATATTTAAAAAACATGATGCCACAGGTGGTTCTTTCCTTAAAAAAAATAATTAATTTTAACAAATATCTACATTAACAACAACAAAGGCAAAAACCCCATCAAAAAGCCTTAATATTCATTTTATATAAATTCTTCATGGCAAGCGTTTGTCTAATCTGCTCTTTAGAAGTTACTGACACAGAAATCGTATGGTTTCCTTAGTCCTTAGCTTTAAAACCTTAGATGTTGTTAACACTGGCCAGAATTTCAAATAAAATGAGAACTAAAAATCAAACAGACGGGACACTCTTCATAACATATGACACCTACATTAAAAACTGAACTTTTCACAAGAATATTTCTTTCAGATATCACAAAAGTGTCTTATTTTTCCAAAACAGAAGCCTCCACATCTTAAACTAATCCAGACCAAAAGCAATTGTGAGTTTCATTGCACTATCCTGACGTATGCTAATCAAGTAACAGATACTCTCTTTCCCCTAGATGTAAACAAACATCTGAACTCCCACTGCCCAATGATATACAAAGCATTTGTCAAACAACGAAGAACAACAGTACAGAACTATTTAAAAATCTATGAGAAATGAAAAGTAATCTCACAGCTCTTTTATTTATTGTATCTTAAGTCTTTGTTTTGTTTCCTAAAGATATAATTTCCTTCAGCTTTGCAACAGATGTTGTCTGGAGGAAAGAGGAGACATCTCAGTACTACAGAAATCCCTTCCTGGATATCCATCACAGCTTTTAAGTAGTACGGACAGTTTTGTCTCAAGAGGAGCTGAGTGTAATGAACAATGTTCCTGCACTCCACCATGAAAAGGTCCACACGTACTTATATTCAAGGGTAGTAATCTATTTTAAAACAAGAATTTATTGTGTTATAGTATAAAGACACTAAACACAAAAACAAAGTCTTTAACAACATTAACATTGACACAAAATAAAAGCAAGATCATTTCAAGCCAATTCTGTAACCATTTCATGTGAGAAACTCCGAGCAAAAGAAAGTTACATACACAGGCTCACCCTATGGAAAGGATGGCACCACCTTCATCTAATTTAAACCCCCTTCCAGGGCACCACTGTATTGTCAGAATAGTTGCATTAATTTGAGGGCTCGAGTGGTATGTAAGCCTTGTCCTTGCCCTCTCTATATAGGAGAACTTACCAATAAATCTACAAGAGAACCAATGAATGCATTTCTACTGTAAACTAAAAGACTTGAGGTAAATTCTAATCTACGTTGGATTTCTTTTTCTCTTATTACAGAGGATTTCATTGAAGAGCAGCATAAATTTAGTTAACTTCATTGTAGTCCATGTGATAGCATAGATTAAAAAAAAAACCATAATGCTTTGCATTACATCACACAACTCCAACAAAATACATACAGTATGTCATAAAGCTTCTCTGAAATCATGTATTGTAGAACACCAATCCAACATCTGAAAAGATTTAAGTATCTGAGAAGATGCACTTTAACCATTTCTTCAGACACATTACCTTGTACCAAAATAAGGTCTCTTCACTGTGGACTATCTGAAAGGATCCGTTATGTGAACCAGTTGTATGAAAACACATGAATTCTCAAAGATGTGACAATCCTTTCAATCAATAATAGAGAGCAGTTAACAAGAATATACAGATTAAGTATTCAGATCACTGCTCATTCATACGAAACATTTCCAAAAATAACAGATTTGATTAACTTAAAGCAATAAAATTTATCTAAATAAGAAATTAGGAGCACAACTACTTCATTTGCTTAAAATGATTATTTTTGGCTCTTAAAAGAATCTGAATTCTAGATTTTAAAGGCTCTTTGTGAAAGTATATATACACACCAAATTTATATTCAAAACTAGATTTTACCATTGCGTTTTAAAGGCCAAGATATATTTTCAATACAGTAGAAAAAATAGCAGTTCCTGAAGTATATTGTAGCCTCACTTTACTGACAGTATCAATAATTGCTGTACAAAATACTTCTCCAAAGCAAATCCATTTGAACTCTATCCACCCTGAGTTATGCTTCTTCATTTTTAAAAATGTTTTCAACATTAGATAACAGAGAAGTATGTACAAGGCTATAAAATTTGTCAGTTATTATACAGCAGTTAAAAAACTCGGTACTATCAGCCAATTTTGTTTTTGTAGTTATTCAGTTTGGGTTGTGTCACTGTTGATTTTCTGTTTGTTTTTTTAATCAAGTAGTCACTTCATCTGAACATTCACATATTGACCACTTGGTTCTTTATTTTTGATCGCAACAGTAAGGCAACAGTAAAAATAAAAGTCATAGAAATTTTGCATAAGTGTAAAGGTATTAAGTTTATAAAAGTGCTTCCTAAAAAGATAACCTAATTGCAGTATCAAAATATTACAGAGTGGTGAGAACAACTATCTATTATTTCAATAAAATGTTGCTCCATAGAAAATACATCAATCTGGTTTTAGGCTTTTTCATCTTTTTTTGGGGGGGGGGGAGGGGAGGGGGCAAAGGGTGAAGTAAAAGCCTGGAGGAAAAACAAAACAAACAAAACATAATGGTTGTGAAGGACAAGCAAGTTAAGAAAATATACTTTAGTCTAAACTTAAATAAGAAGGTCCACACTTTTTTGTCAAAACATTAAGCCTCTGTCAAAAATGTATTTTTTTTTCTTTTTATAGTACAGGATTAAAAGACAAGATGATGCTTACACGGTAAAGAAATAATTTACATGAAAATAACTTCAGACTTTTCAGCTTTTCAATCAAAATATTTCATAACATTCAAACATGACATACAACAACAAAAGAAACAGTGAATGCAAACAAAAATGTTATATGATTTCTTTCAAACACATAAATAAATGAAATATTGGTGTAGGCAGTAGGGCTCATGCTGATGGCTAGCAGGAAATAACAGTGTGCAATCTATTTGGAAAAAGCTCTAAAGTACAAATTACAAGCCCAATTATGGACTGCAGCAAGTTCAGTTATATCACTGCCATCCTCTCTTATCTCCAAAATAAATTCTTGATTAAATCATTCATACCCTAAATTACTCATACCTTTGCTTCAGAGATATGAATAACTATATACAAAAAGTAGTTTTATTTCACCATAGGGATAACATTGTACCTCCCTGCCAATGTCACTTGAAAAACCTTCCATGTCAAAACAATTTGACAGCAGACAAACAATTTAATAAATATGCAATGATCTTATTACAGTCCTTCAGCTAAGCATGTTACCTCATGCTGCTAGTTTTGAGATCACAGTGCATAGAATCCAAATACAAAAGAATGGGGTGGCTTTTAAGGTACAGGTAGATCCCTTGCTTATAATTCAAATATCTGAAACTTTGCCCAGCTCTATTACGCATCAATCTTTTTGTGGCAGGAGCAAAAAACCTTTCCCTGGTACAATGTCCATTGCCGGCAATGGATGCACCAAAACCGCAAAGGAGTTCAGTGTTATTGCACAATATATGAAGACCTGGAATTCTCCAAAAGCTTAAAATAAAAATAATGGAATTATTCTGACATTTCTGGACACCTGCATTAATACTGTATGACTAATAAAAGCATGTCAGTTGCATGGACTGAACCAGCGATCAACATGCGCCCAGAATGCACACTAGTAAAAATGCAGTCAAAGGAAGTAGTCTTCTTTGCCTATAGGTCACTTCCAGTCAAAGGTTAAAGTTCAAAGACTGAATGATCAAAGTGCTCGTTTTCTCAGTAGGACTATCTTCTGCTACGAGGATCACAAAATGGTGGCATCAACATGTGTCATCTTTAAAATAAGATAAAAAAAAAAAAGAATGTTTATATATTTACTATAAATACTAAGTCCGAATTACCAAGGAGATGTATGCATGAGCAACTCCTGGCACAGAAATTAAGGCGCAGTGGAAACACACCAAATGAGTAAGTTGACAATTTTGTTCAATAACAACTCAAGAAAAAGAGATGAGAGTATAAAATATAAAATTGCCAAACTACTATCCACACATTCTTAAGTGCATTAGTATTGGCAAGCAGTCAATCAAAAGGACAATAATTAGTACATTCAATATTTAGAAAGTCAAACACTAGGAAAAGGAAATACCAAATACACTAAATATTTTGACCCCCTTGAAGTAAAAGCAGGCCTACATCCATTTTTGAAACTGAGAAATCTTTCCACAAGGAATATATATCGGTATGTGTCAGCAGAGCTGGTTTATCCAGATGCCTCCAATCTTAACGCTTTTTTATATTTCTCAAGAATCAACACAAACTACATCTGATCGAACCATGCAAAGGCAATACATCACTCCTGTAACACTAAGACTTCAAATGTGAAAATATTTATATTCACTGAATTTTAAGGACTGTGACTGGACCTATTACAAAGAGAATACTGCGCCAGATGTGTCTGCTCTACACTTTAATATTTAAATATAAATATTTGCCTGAGAAAACTTACCCATTTAAACCTTTCACTCCACATATCAACATGTAGAATATTTGCAACTGGTAACAGGAGATATTAAGCTTGTAAACAGAAAACAAACTTACTGTCCAGTCATTAATGCACTAACTTGTGATCTTGCACACACAGAAAAGGTAGCCATACAAACAGCACACATTACTAAATCCATGAACAGTAAAAACAGAAGTCGCAGCAAACAGTTCTACATTCTCACTGGGAAAACACTATGTGCTCAGTACTACTACATATCAGGGAAAAAAAAAGAAAAGAGCCTTTGTTTTATTAAGAGGGTAAGGAACAAAGCTGTACATGTAAGGAAAAAAAAGGGTAAGAACACAAGAGAGATGATGAGGTGTTTAAACAGCATAGTAAAAGTTCAGAAGTATCAGGGAAAACACCTCTTAAAAAATAAAATCAAAAGCCAAAAGCAGTAAGGAATTGCTGGCTGAAAAAAAAAAATCACCAATGCCACATACTCCTTCTCCCCATAAAATTCTACCTCTTAACAACACAAAGGAATAGACAACAGCTTTATGAAACCAATTTCAGCCTAACATGGCTAAGAAAACCTTATCTGGAAGATCCTCCTTTGTCTTTGACACAGCACAACCAACTCTGAGAAAGTCAATGTGAAATTCAATGTACAGTTGAAGGAGGTGTTGAGTATGGTAGTCAAAGACACCATTAGTAAGACAAAGCAGGTTTTAAAAGAGGACTTCTGAGGATGCTGATTTTGTAACAAACAAGGATCTATAACTGTTTACAGAATAAGTTGCTTTGTTGAGTCAGGGAGGAAATGACAATTTTTATCTAATAGTTGAAGATTTTACTTTTTTAATTTAAGAATTTAAAAGGATTGGAAGCACAGTAATAGTTTAATTAGTTGTAATTGTAATTGGTAGCTAAAAAGGAAGTAAAAACAAATGAAAATATTATGAAGCAAAACAATAAGTTATTTAAATGAACTGACTTGTTTTCTCATCTCTTCAGTTGCTTTTCCAGGTTACTCTGACTTAGTAGGTTCTCCAACTTTCAGAAAACAACTGCTGAATAACTGCTTTGAGGTAACTAAATGATTTGTTCAACGGAATACAAGCAGCTTGATTTTCTTTCTGGGTCACAATTATATAGTAATTTTCAGAGTCAAACAGCCACTTTTTTTTTCTGTACTTATTTGATCTTTTGCTTAGTTAACTCAAATTTCATGAATAAAAAACGAAAGTATTATCTGTTCTACTTGAGAGACACAACTCCCAAACGAAAGGAGATGGCTGTAGTACCAATGCAAAGTAAGCAGGACTTATTTTAACTACAACATAAAGCCAATAAATGAAATTTAATTTCATTTCCCTTTAGAATTAACTAACAAGTAAAAACAAAATTAAAATAGTAAATAAAAAAAATTCCAAAATAGCCAATAAAGATAAAGCAAACTCAAAATAATTAAGCAGCAAAGATACTGCTAGAGTGAAAAACAAAAAAAAGAAAAAGTGAGTATTGAATAATCTAGTGAAGATGAAAAATCCAGCCTATTATCCTTGCAGAGAAAGAGTACAATTATTATTGGAGTCAATTTCATAAACAGCATTATTTACAACCATATGATAAGCAGCCTTAAGTTTCTTAAATACTTACACCCTATGACATACAGCACTGGCCTTACTGTGATTGAAATCAACTTGTTTTAGACTATCACGAGTAGCACAGTTTCATTCTGTTCCACTTCCATTTGTCAAAAAACCATGGGCATCCACAAATATACGGAACTCAAACATTTACTATTAAGGCATCTCTGGGTTTTTGAGCATTTATGCACGAAAGCAGCATCATCTCTCCAGTCCTGCTATCTCAAACTACCTGACCTCACTTCACATACAAAACAGAACATTCCCTGGTGTAGGGAGACAGCAGAAAAATGCATGTCTTATGATGGATGCTTCACTTAAAGGTAAGACCAGCTCCTCCCTGCATCATCTAAGCATACAGCATTTTCTGCTTTTTCCCAATGACTATTTGACAGTATTTTCCCAGTGAAAGCCAAGAACATAGAGCCAGCAAGAGAAAAGGAAAGCACAGCCTCTGTCCCTCCCATCCTGTCTTACTTTCTTTTAGGGACCAGACACAACTAGCACATACAGCCAAACCTAGCTCTGGGAAGAAGATGACAAATGCTGAAGCAGAAGAAAGAAACCACACAGCATAAAGTCAGATAAAGAGCAGATGACAAGGAAAAAAACAACAAGAAAACAGCACTAGCACTACAGACACTGCAGTATTATAAAAAGCAATTCTAGTACATAAATATTTATCATGTACACATAAACTCTTATTACTACACTTCTAACTATAAGTTCCTAAGAGTCTTTAAGTCATCCAACTGTCTACACAGAAAATTCTGGCAGATGGTGGAATTAACTGAAAATATGTGACTGTTAGAAACATGTAAATGTGTTTCTACTGCAGTGAAAGTCTTAAAAGCCCTTAAAAGCATTACTGGCAATAAGAGAAAAAAGAGCTACACTTACTTTAATTAAGGATTTTCTACACCTCAAACTTAAGACCTCTCATGTATTGAGACAATTTACAAGAGCTATTATTCCAAGTTAGCCCAACAATTCAAAACATAGAATCTGTGCTATCTAAATTTCACTTGGGAGCTATTAAAATAAGATGTACCGAAATTCACAGCAAGTATCCAAGAAACGGCATTTCATAAACTTTTGAAATTAATGAGTTTAAGACTTTCAACGCATTTATCCTTCATTCCCACATTTCAATTGTCTTCAAAATTCCTGGTCTTAGTGAAATACTTACCATGATACCACCATTTTGTTTTCTTTGGATTCTTGTTACATGTTCTTACATAAAATGAGTTATCTGGAGGTCGCCTCTGCAACAGAAGAAAAGACCTACAAATAATCAAACAATCCCCATATAGTAAATACATGAACTATTTAAGAAGTTCATGAAAGGTTATGTGAATATAGTGAAAGTAAAGCAGCAAACAGGGAAAGTCATCTTGCAAGAAAAATCTAGGTAATGGCTTTTATTGCAGATAATCCAAGCTAAGATCCCATGATAAATTCCGAATAGCCTAGAGAAAGACTGGGGTAGGAATATGTGGGTATTAGGAAGAATAAGTAAAGAGGAGAGCCCATGAGAAAGGAAGAGTTTTTGATTAAAAAAAATTGAATAAATAAAAGAGAAATTCCTTTCCATTTTTTTTTTTAATCTAATTGTTACATCTTAGGTCCAGCTCATACTGATAAATCGTAGCTTAGAATGGGTGAAAAATGAACTTTGATTTATTTGGTTTTGTTGGGCAAAGTCAGAGGCAGAGGATATAACAAAGCAATTTGAGAGGTATTCTCCTACCAAAATCACATGAGTAGGACCAACTGGGATATGTTAAATATGCATATTGGGAAAGCATATATCTGCCCCTGTACTCAGCATAGGTGAGGCCTCACCTCGAGTACTGTGTTCAGTGTTTTGGGGCACCTCAGTACAAAAAGGACACTGAGGTGCTGGAGAAGGTCCAAAAAAGGGCAATAAGGCTTGTGAAGGACTTGGAGAATATGGCCTATGAGGAGAGACTGAAGGAACTGGGGCTGTTCAGTGTGGGGAAAAGGAAGCTGAGGGGAGACCTTACTGCTCTCTTCCAATACCTGAAATGCGCTTACAGCGAGAGCGAGGTTGGTCTCTTCTCACTAGTGACAGGATGAGGGGAAATGGCCTCAAGTTGTGCCAGGGTAAGGTTAGGTTGGATATCAGGAAGAAAGAGTGGTTAAGCACTGGAATGGGTTGAGTCACCATCCCTGGATGTGTTTAAAAACCATTTGGATGTGGTGCTCAGGGACATGATTTAGCAGAGGGTTGTTAGGGTAGTATGGTTAGTTCATGGTTGGACTCTATGATCTTTAAGGTCTCTTCCAACCTGAGTGATTCTATGATTCTATATGTACAAGCTCTGACCAAATTAACCTCCACAGAAATTCCACTCCAAAACTAACGGTCAAAAGTAAAAGAGTAACTTCTTTTCTAAGAAAAGTCTGAGCATCACTCATTTATGATCAAAAAGCAGCTTAGGATCATTTACTTTTCTGAAATAAAAGTGATCAAGGTCAATAAAATAGTACAACTTAGACATCTGCAAAAAAGACATTTCGCATTTCGTCAGTTGTTTTGAGTTGCCTTTAGAGACAAACAATTTTAACAGAATTGCAAGAATTTAACTTTGTGTTAATATAATGTAATGAATTGGTACAAACAGAAGCTTGCTATTTACGCTTCTTCTCCACTAAAGCCATGCAAACAGATTACCATCAAACAAAGTTACGAAGTACTTACTGTACTGTTTAGTTTGCAGTTCTAACTTAATACTTTCGAATAACAGAAATTTAGATGTAGCAAGTTTGCCTATTTTAGAATTTCAGAAACAAAAAAAAATCTTACTTTGCAAAATAGAAAACAAATAATTTTCACTTAATCTACTCCAACGGTGCTGAAATCAGCAGGCGGTGGCAACCCTGCCCATCACAAGGTGACTGGAACTACGTGACCTTTAAGGTCCCTTCCAACCCAAGCCAGTGACTCTATGACAAAAAAACTTCATACCTTTTCTTTGCAGCTGGAAAGCATGCTAATAATGCTAAGACAAACAGATTGCACTGAGAGAGCTGGAGACCAGTCTTCTGTTAGAATGGACAAACAGATATGACCATTGCTATAAACATGGGGATGAACAGGAATATTGTCACCAGTAAACATGACCTAAAAAAAAAAAAAAAAACAACACACATGTTTAACATCCAACTTTCAAATAAAACTACACAGTTTTTGTAAAATAAAGTGGGTTCTGACATTTTCATTTACAATAAGTAATACAACATACCATATTATATTCATTCATTTTTTGAGCTGTTAGTCAAAATGTAAAATGAAATGACAGAAGCCTTGTTAGCTAGTGAAAATGAAGTTGCATAAACAGCGAAATGCAGTTTATTCCTATGAATAGCTACAAAACAAAAAGAATATAAAAGCAACAAATATATCTAACTGAAGATTTTAAATCTTGAAACCTCAGTCTTTTACATCCTAAGGAAGCCAGACACATATCCAGAAGGTTAGATTCACAAATTAGTATTTCTATGGACGCAATAGGATGTAATTCTGGACAACTCAAGAAGAGTTAAACACACTAATCCTATTAGCTATAACATAAAGGACTCTTTACAACCATAATGCATTATCACATAGGAAATTTTAGATTGTTATTTAAGTGGGAATTACTTTCATTTAACAGAAGCAAACAACAGAGAACAGCACTGAGAACCTCCCCTCCATTTAAGGATAATAAAGGTTAGAAAATCAATTTTGACAATTACTGCTCTTACAGTAAGTTTGACAAAAACATGAGGTCAGCTCAGGACCAATGAAAAGGGAGTAAAAAAAAAAATCAAAATCCTCACAGCAGCATTATCCTCCTGAGCTCCTTATCCAACATAAGCACTGCAATCTTTTACAAAATGACATAATAACTCTATACCACTCAAACCACAACATCTTCTTAAGATTTTCTAAGTTCATGTGCATGTTCACACACCCCATCGCACTACTGACTACCAGAAAGAAGTTTCACCTTAATCACAAATGAACCTGAGGTGAGAAAGCTCAACCTATTTGCCAAATGGCATGCATTTTTCTTTACGACAGCAGAAAAAAGTGGATGCAGAATGATTTTTATCTGGTATATTTTATACACTGAAAAGCTTACCTTTGTAACTTAGTAACATATTTAATATCTAACTAATGTTTTACAGGAAAACAAGGACTACGCATACTAGTAAGTAAAAGCATGCACACTATAACAGACAACATTCAATTAAGGCAGAAAACAATTAAGTGATTAAACAGCAGAAACATGAATTGCCAATTCAAAGAATGTAGATTTACAGGAGAAAGAATTATAAATCAAGAGCTTTAAAACAGAGAATGAAATTATTGTACAGCAGCACGATGGAAATTCTAGTCATTCCAACTAAATATGCAGCACTTAAATTCTTAATTGTCTTTTATGCTTACAAAGTAATAGCTACATTTGTCTATGTGTACTGATCTAGATTGCTTTTTTACAATGATTTTTTTACATGTTGGATATTGAGTACAAACAGTACCTCCTTGGAATCAAAACAAAGTGGGTCGTGTGGATCGCTTACGAGTAGCTTACTGCAAACCTAACGAAATACAGATGGGAATGGAATTTGCCAATTTACTCCTTAAAACCTGAAACTAAAGAGTCAGCATTTCTTAGTTTTTACCTTAATACTTAAAGACACGTATTTTTACATTTTAAGTGACTGGTGCAGCTCCTTGCTGGAGCTTCAACAACCACGAGAAAAGCAGAGATGACTCTTCAAACTTCGAGCTGAAACAGGGCCAGAACTAAAGCACTGAAGTTTCTTCTTTCATTCTCAGGAGAGCCAAAGTGATAACTGAACATCTACTTTCCTCCTACAAGCCATGATTTCTAACATTCCTCTCAGGTAATGGACAGGCGGATGTACAGAGCTCATTCTGCACCCAAGCAGTAATGCTGCCCCTCCAGTACTTACTGTTATCATGAAAGCAGTAGCGCACACTTCAATTATAACCACTAGATTTGCAGACCTGCCAGAGATGCCAGGTATTTATGAGAATCCCTACCACGTTATTTTGACAGCCATATTAACAATGGCAGGTGAAAGAGGTTTAAAAAGGAACTAGAAGCTGAATAGGAGACAAAAGAATTGTCGTTCAGGCCTGTGCTGCAGCAAAAGGAACCTTCCTACTATTGTGTTGCTCTTTCACAGTATATAAATAAAGCTCAAGTGTACATTGTTCTTCCATCTTCCATGAAACCATGTGGACTGCAGTAGACACTACACTTCATTGAAGATTTGTTTCAATTTATGTTAAATATATTGTGCAGATGTGTTTTTTTTTTCTAGAAACAACTAAACCTCACATTAGGATACACAAACAGCATTAATATTCAGCACGTGCCACACAACTATTGCTAAGAGGTAGAATTAAGTAGGAAGGAAGAAAGCAGACACCTGAGGCGAATCAAAAGGATATCGGCTACTGAACTTAAATAGAAGCTGAAATTTCTCCCCTTCGTATAGCGTTCCTGGAGCACCTTCCATGTCCACAATCCACCTAAGAATGGAGAAAAAAATAGTATTATGGACTAACAAACTATTATTTTACTCCTGGAGCACAGGACAAACAACATCAACTACCACGCAGCCAATCTTCCAAACTCTCCATTAGTATAGCCGTTACAGAAGCGAATAATGTCTCAAGCCCACATTTGAAAGGATCAAGTTTGGTATTTCATATACAGGCACTGCCACAGCACTGCAAACTACGATGACTTGAACTCATCAGACTCATCAATTCCCTATTACATGAGCCACAGTTGACATAGAAGACTTCCAGAGACTATTCCTACATAAAAACAGGCTTGGAATATAACAGAGTAGCAGGCATTCTCCTTCCATGTTGTTTCTATCTTTCTGTCAAGGAAATCATCAATACAGTTTATTAAAATAAAATCTGCATCCCCAGGGTGAGAAGGAATGATGCTCCTGTGCATCTGTGAAGAAGTTAGAAATGAAATGCTACATAATCTGACACACAAGGAAACCATAAAACTGTAAAGGTTAACAGCATAAAAATGAAAAGGTCATAGAAAATTAAAAATAGAAAATAGACGATTTGCAACTGTAATTAAGATGTACTTCTCTTCTGCACCTGATCCTTCCATCACAACATGGAATAAAGTGACATGTTTTGTTTTGTTTTAGTTTAGGCAAAAATATGATTCTGTGCAGTGTTCAGGACAAATAGCAACACCTTGCTCTGTCAATTCCATCACTTCAGAGTTCTGTTGATCATTTAGTACTATCCTTTCTAGAACTGCTTCCCCATTTCTGTCTTTCACTGACAGAATTTCACATGTCTGAGGGACAAAGTAACATGAAGATTTAGCAAGAGACAAAAAAAAAAAAAAAAAGACTACAAAAACTCTCAGGTAAGTTCGTTTACATCAGTTGCAAGCGAGGCAAATGAGATTTTTCAGAACAGAAAAGCATTCAAAGAACAAGGTCTATTTCAGCTGAAAGTTCTGATGATACTACTCCCAGCCTCTCTCCATACTGCCATCATACAGGCTATCCCCGCATTTAAGTGGTGCACGCTAATCACAGAATGGGTTAAGGTTGAAAAAGAGATTTAAGATCATCTTGTTCCAACCCCGTGCTATAGACAGGGATGCCTCCCTCTAGACCAGGCTGCTCAAAGCCTCAACCAGCCTGGGCTTGAATATCTCTAGGATAGGGGCATCTATCACCTCACTGTTCCAGTGTCTCACCACCATAATAATAAAGAATTTTTTCCTAACATTTAATCTAAACCTACCCTCTTCCAGTTTAAAGCTATCCCCCCACCCCATCCTGTTGCTACATGCCTTTATAAAAAGGGCCTCCTCAGCTTTCCTGCAGACTCCCTTCAGGTACTGGAAGGCTGCTACAGGGTTCCCCCTGAGCCTTCTATTCTCTAGGCTGAAGAGCCCTAACTCTCTCAGATTAACCTTAGAGGGGAGGTCCTCCAGCCCTCTGATCACCTTTGTGATCCTCCTCTGGACCCACTCCAACTGCTCAATGCCTTTCTTGTGTTGAGGGGTCCAGAACTGAACACAATTCTCCAAGTGGAGTCTTGCAAGAGCAGAGTAGAGGGGCAGAATCACCTCCTACGACCTATTGGTCACACATTTCTTGATGTAACCTGGATATGGTTGGCCTCCTGGGCTGCAAGTGCATTTTGTTGGTTCATTTCAAGTCTTTCATGACTCAACACCCTCAAATCTTTTTCCTGAACGCTGCTCTCAAAACATTATCTGCTCAGACTGTATTTGTGTTTGGGATTGCTCTGATCCAAGTGCAGGACTTCACAATTGGCCTTGTAGAACTTCATGAGGTTGGCATGGGCTCAACTCTCAAGCCTGTCCAGGTCCCTCTGGATGGCATCCCTTCCCTCTAGCATGTCAATTGCACCACTCAGCTTGGAGTCATCTGAAAATTTTCTGAGGATGCACTCAATCCCACTGTCCCTGTTACCTACCTATAAAGACATTAAACAGTATTACTTCCAGCATCAATCCCTCATCTTCTTCTCTACTGCATTAAAATAATTTTATTTTTAGAAAAATTGCTCCTCTACAGAACTGCTGTCATCCTCCTCAGAAGGAATATGGTAATGGCTGTAATGGGGAAGAGCCCTTTAATTGCAGATGAAGTAAGGGGTGTCACTGTATGTAACAGAGTTGGATTGTATGGCACTTACACTTGGCAATTACATGTTGAGTGCCTCTGACTAAGGATTAGAGGGAAAGCAAATAAAACGGATATTGTTGCAGGAACCTACCATAGATCACCCAACCAGGATGACAACATCGATGAATGACTTTACAATGAATTAAGGGATATTTCCAGAACAGCTGCCCTTGTCCTTACAGATGATTTCTACTTCCCAGCTTTAACTGGGAATATCATATAACTGATATAAATAGGCTCAGGAGATTACTAAGGGAGCTTACTAGGAAAGGTGCCCTCCTAGATTTGTTACTTGTAAACAGAGAGAGTCTTGCAGGGAAGTGGCAATTAGCAGCCGTCTTTGGCCACAGTGACCACAAAGCAGCTGAGTTTCAAATCTTTAGTGACAGGAAAACAGCCACCAAAATTTCAGCACTGAATATGGGAAAAGCAGACTTCAGGCTACTCAGGGAACTACTTTGTAAGATGCTGCAGGAATCTGTTTTAGAAGAAATTGGCACCCATCAGTTCTGGCCACTTTTAATAGTCATATCTTAAGAGCAAAGGAGCAAGGGAATTTCAGTGCATCAGAAATCAAGCAAGAGGAGATTAAGGCTGGCCTGGCTGAGCAGGGATCTTCTTCACAACCTCAGGGGGAAAAAGAAAATGTACTGACATTAGAATCAAGGCTTTTTTTAAACAGCAAAAGGAGCACCAGAGAACACTGGCTCATTACTTGACACGTTAAGTCACCTCACAAACAGGGATGTTCATGAAGGAGAAACATATAATGCCTTTTTTGCCTCTGCAGTACTGATGATAGAACTCCACAAGGGGACCAGAGGTGAACTAGAGGAAAGAAACTTCCAGCCAACTCTGAATTTCTGCAGGATCTGCAGTTCCAGTTGGATACATGAAAATATGTGGAGTGTGAGAGGACTTATAGAGCTCACCAGAAGATCTCTTTCAATTATTTTTCAATGGTTTTAGAAATCTGGAGAGGTTTCAGCTGGCTAGAAGTTAGCAAATGTTTTAATTGTCAAGAAGGTCAACAAATACGTCCTGGTAATGACAGGACAGTCATTCTCACTTTAGTGCCTTGTAAACAATATAAAAAATTATTCTGGAAGTTACTGAAAAACACTTGAAATAATGAAGTCATTAGATCGTTATGTGAAAGTCCTCCTTCACTAAGTTAATTGCCATTTACACCAAGAGAAACTAGTACATGTAGGGTTTTTTGCCTTTTTTTTTTTTTTTTTTTTTTTTAATTTCAGAAAAGTTTTTAACATTTACAGTAGCCTTCAGGGCAAAATGGTCAGCATCCAGCCAGAGAAGTTCACAGTATGACAAGTAAACAATTGGTTCACAGGTCAGGCTCAAATGGCTATAGTAAATGGGGTTACTCCAGGCTGGCAGTTACTACTGGGGTTACACATGGCTCAATTTTACAGCCTATTCTCTTCAGGGTTTTTATAACTGATCTGAATGCAGGATTCTAAGGACACTTGGTAAGTTTGTTAATGACACTAAATGTTAATGACACTAAAAGTTGACTCCCTTAGAGGTAAAAAGGCCTTGCAGTGAGATCTTGGCAAATCAGCAAACTAGATGATCACATGGAGTTTAAAAAGAACAAGTGCTGAATTCTGCACTTGTGATGGGTAACTCCATATATACGTAGAGACTCAGAGGACAAGAGACTGGCTTTGTAGGAAGCCATTTGGTTGTCATCAAGTTGAATCAAAATTAGCAGTATGCCCTGGTAGCCAAAGGGACCAACCATACCCTGCAGTGCACCAGGCCTAGCACTGTTAGAACATCGAGGGAAAGGACTGCCCTGCTCTGCACTGGTGTGGCCTCACCTTAAACACAGTGTGCAGTTTTGGTGTCAAAACGTAAGGACATAAAGGTATTATAATGCATCCAAAGGAGGATTATGAAGATGGTAAAGAGCCTAGAAGGCAAAAGATGGCAAGAGTGGCCAAGGCCACTGAGTCTGTTTAGCCCAGAGAAGACGAAGCATCATGACAGCCTACAGCTTCTCACGAGGGGAGCAAAGGGACTGGTGGTGAGGTCTGCACTCTGGTGGCAGTGACTGTACACAAGAGAATGGCATGAAGCCGCATCAGATTGAGTAGTAGGAAAAGGCTCTTCCCCAGAGGGTGGTCAGGTCCTGGATTTGGCTCCTCAGGGCAATGGCCATGGCCTTCAAGAAGCACTTGGACAATACTCTTAGACAGTTTTAATTTTGGATGGTCTTGCCTAGATCCAGGAGATGGACTCGATGAGTCTCATGGGTCCCTTCCAACTCAGGATATTCTGTAATGATTTATTCTAGATGCAACTGAGACTACTTATCTCTTGCTATATATTCTGCTTTACATTTATAGACGCACTGCATCTTTAAAGCTGTGCAGCTTTACTGGTCTTTGTGACCCAGAATCTCCACTTTCCAGTTTTTGAACTAGTTTTACTTAGAAAGTAGAAGATAATTCTTTCCAAACACTGCTTTTTTTGGTTTTGTTTTTTTTTTTTTTTAAATGATTGAGGTATTACTGGCTTTTTTCTTTTTGGTTTGTTTTGCTTAAGCCAAAACTTCTAATTAATGTGTACTAAAAAGAAACTGATTAAACTGGGTTTAAAATGACCCAGTTACACTATGGGCTTCAATTAATTGATTCAGTTCCTTTCAAACCCAAGTGAGTACAAATCTATACTGTACCAGCTCTAACCACAATTTAATTATCTCAGAACATTCTACTTGGCACTGAAAGCCCTTAAAGGGCAAAAAAAAGAAAAAAAAAACAACAAAAGATATTTATAATGGCACAAAGTTTTTTACTCAGCAACAATTTGGAAAAAAAACCAAAACACTAGCACAACTGTAAAACAGGAAGTTTCTATTTGTAACGTATTGAAAGGTATAAAAATTGCATGCAGCAAAAAAAAAAAAAAAAAAAAAAAAAAAAAAAAAAAACAACCACAATGTAGTAGCACTCTGCTAACAAAGATATCCTTAGAATAATGGAAAACTACGAGCACAAAAAAACAAGCTTTTCTTTTTACAACTCTTATTAGTAACAAATTCCGCAAAGCACCGTTTCAATTTGTTTCAGTAATATTCATCTGCATCAAGTATCACAGAAAGCAGGAACATGAAAAAGCAACAGTTGTGTAAAACTTCACGTAGCACAGTCTGTGTGCCATCACCAGAAATTCAGATGTGAAGGGACTTCAACTGGGCAGCTCCATGTTAGGTTTTTAAATTGATCCATCAGTCAATGGCACACATATCACAGAAAACAGCCTGAAATTCACACTCATAGAAAACCTTAGTAGATGCAAAAATCTAACACTTCCCTAAAATTAAGCTAAGAAAAACTTTGACAAAATTATCCAAAAATGTTAAAAAGAGTCTGTGTCTTTGAATGTCAGTCAATTGAAAGAATTTTAATACAATGAAAACACCCACTGACTTCAATGAAACGCAGAGAATACTTAACTAACCTGTTTCAGTTTTACTAATCCCAAATAAAACTACAGCAAGGAAAACCGTGCAAAAAATGAACTTCAGCAACTTTGCTTTTTAAAAAAACCTTTCTCCACTTCTTTTAGAAAACATGGGTGGAAGTTAATAACTATGAAACTATCTAAATACTGTAAAAAAAAAAAAACTAAAAAAAAAAAAACTACATCAGTTCCGTTCTTTGATGAAATTTAGAGGAGTCTCACAGGCTAGCAGCTGCAAGAGTTTCTTATATTGCTTTACTCCAAACCAAGAAGAGTTTATACCAATTGCCATGTTGTTAAACAGTAACATACTTAATATGAATTTCATGAATTCACTATGCTGGTTCCTGAGATTTCTGCATTATGCTGGGTAATACACTCATTAATTAGAAAAATATTTTATTCCCTAGATAAAAAACAGAAGTTCAGAATGTTACCTGGAATGATTAGAGGAAAATGTATGATGGGATTTTGATTGCTTACATTTTTCAGCTTGATAACAAAAACTAAACAATGTATACATTATATATATTAGTATATATACCATATACTTACTGTGTAATGGAGTTTTGTACGCTCTTTTCATTTAGAGTCATTCCGGGAGGCGGATCATTTTGCAATGCCAATAGCTCCTTTTGTAATCTTTTCTAAAAAGGAATTGTAGGGAATATTTGGAATATTACATTAAGTTCAACAACAAGCACATGCATTAAGTGTTAATCAATTACTGAAAGTAGACATTTTTAAATGAATCTAATGTTAAGTACAAAGTGTAATTAAAAGTGGAGAAAGAAGAAAGTCATCTGCAAGAAACCAAATTGCAAATTCACAGGCCTTAAGCTAGGAGTTTTCTAACATTTTCCAACATTTACAACAGCAGTAAGCAAAGCATTACAAAATACAGAGGAGTATCCCGGATTTTGTGATACATTAAGAACAGAGACATGATTTTCATCTTTAACAGTAACTGTTCCATAATCCCCAGATAGCATCAGATTTGCAATTAATTTTCCAATACTTTAAGAGTACAATTCTTCCTTTTCTTCATTGTTTAAGATAATTCTATGTGGCATTGGTGCAAGCATTTTCCTTCTCCCAGGTCATCCCAAAGAGACAGAAGACAAAGCTAAACTGGATTATGTGACTTTGCAGAAAATAAACCACTTTATAACTTTTAAACAACTGCACCTTAAAACTTACAGAGTAATATTTACAGAAGTAGTGCACCAGTAGGTCAGGTAATCCTCACCTATTTTTACAGGGTGAAGTCAGTAGCTGCAACCATTTTCTGTACAAACTAAGAGCTGTTGTACGGAGCGAGCAATACGGGACCTCAGTAAAGTGTTACCATTGGCAATGCTTTCAAAGAGTATTTTTTTCTCTCCATAAAACATTATGCAATATGTTTTGTCATTTCCAAGCCGTTCGCATAACGGGAAAAGTCAAGGCTCTCTCATATCTTATTCTCCCTTTTCCTGCCAATACTTTCTAGTTTACAGCTTACCAGTCCATTTTCATCATCCTTACTATTCTTAATGTCCTTACATGAGATTTAAAGCTTACCTAGCACTAAGGATTACAAAATACATTTCCTTTTGGAGTTCAGTACCTAGTTTTCATTCAGCATACACTTTTCTTCTTCTTTAAATGTAGGTTTAAAACAAATTGGTAACTTTGGGTTGTTGGTTTTTCTAAACTAATTCTCAAACCACTGTTCCCGATGCTGAATCACAATGTAGAAGTGATTCAATATCTCATTAATATGTTTGAAATAGGTTTACAATAAATTCAGGCAAATCCTGAAGAAAAAGCCCTGGCACATTCACAGTTTTCATTTTGAAATAACTTACTATTAAGCAGCCCTGAAAATTTGCGTTGTGCCTGCAGTACAAAAGTTTCTGATGAATACACATTTTGAGTGCCCTGTTTGTAAGAAATCAAATCATTTTGTTTTGAAGTGACACATTATGTCAGAAAAGAATTTTAATTAAAGGCTACTTTAATTTAAGGCTATTGCTTTTACTGCACACCAACTACATTGCTGAAAACGCAATTAACAACTCTTTCATAAGAAGCCTACATAATTTAGTAATATAAGACTTTGTGTTCATTTTTCTTCTCCCCAAATGGTAGAGAAAGAAACTTCAGGTGGTAACACCAACTGTATTTAACACTGCTAACATGAATTAAACTGAATACTCAGACAAAAGCCAAAATAAAGCAAGCCTCTCCAGAAAAGCAGACCTCTAACATTACTACTGAGCAAGAAAAGTTTCAGCAAAGAATCTTACTGCTTTGAAACAAGGGAAACCACAAAGAAAAGCTGACTATCACTTCCTATCGCACATGGAAAACTCCAGCGCACACCTGACTAACAGGATGTTTCCAGGCATAGCTCCTGGGGAAATGTCAGCAGGGGTGCCATCAACCCAGAAACCTGGACTCGTCCTCTAGGACTTGTTCTTCACTCGGAAGAATCTCCCATTCAAAACCAAGTCTTAGCAAAGGACACTTTTTCCTTCCACCTCAGGATATCCATTGTAACCCCCCACATCCTCCTCTGGTCTATGCAAGTCTGAGTGTTTGTATTATGACTACGGATTTCACGCATCTCAACACTGCTTCACTTGAGAATAAGGTCAGAAGTGTTTTGGGGTTTTTTTTGGGTTGTTTTTTTTTCCCCCCCCAAGAGCACCATTTATTACTGCAGGATTAAAGGACCCCAGCTCAAAGCAGCAAGAAATAGGACAGGAGACCAACAGCTGCCATCAGAGAAGTTGTTCATTTTTTCAAGGTTCTATCAGAGAAGGATGCAACTTCAGCTGTATCTACCATCTTAAGATAACTTCTTTTGAAATGAAAGGACAAAAATACCATTTCATAATCAATTTCCAGGTTTCTCCAGTCCCCACCATGACAAATCGTGGAAGCATCAGACAGCTCAAGGTGAAAAAAGTACTTCTAAGGTTTCATAAGTGTTATTCTAGCCACTACAGTCTAAAGATAGAAGCAAGGCAGTCTTTACACAAAGAGAACGCCTTTTACTGGACAAAGTGATAAACAGTTAAGACTTGAAGCTCCGGTGTATCATTTTTTTTTCCAACTTGGAAAAGTAAAATATACAATTCTACTGTTCTTTAACACTTTATCAACCATGCCATACAAATCTTTCATAGATTAACTGAAAAACATACCAGGACTCAATACACTTTTACCAGAAGTCTTCAAAATTTGTTCTAACAAGCATCAAACTCAGCTACTTCTGCAGACTAATACATTTCTACAGAGCTTCTCTGGAAGATGCTATCCAGTACCCTAGAGAAACCAGACCAAAATTCACAGAGGTAATTATGATCTACTAACCAGAATCTATTTAAATACTGAAAAAGAGGGAGCTAACTAGCATTCAGAAAATAATCTTTTAATTGGCCACTTTGGTCACTCTAGTCCACCCTTTGACTACTCTCACAGTACAAAGTGTTCTCTTTACATCTTACTGAAACATCACCCATTCCAATCTGTTCCCCCTTGGCTTCTAGCTATGAGGAGTCATGGCTTGTTATCCCTCACCCACCCATCCGGCCAGCAAAGACATCAGTGTGAACTCCCTCTGTTTTCTCTTCTTCAGAATGAATAACCTCTTGTACACCATGCAGTTCAACCACTCATCATCTTGGTAGCAATCTGCTGAACTCACTCCAGTACATCAGTGTCCTTCTTCTAGCAGGGCTCCTTAAGGACATTACACCAAATGTCATCTCAAATGCCAGAAAGGAGGAGAACCATATTCTTCGAGCTGCTGCCTACTCTTCATTCTTGCACACTGAGCCCAGAATGCAGTTAAAGATAATCAGAAGACTTCGAAAACACTCCCTAAAGTTTCTGAAATTAAACACTGGAAAAGTGTTTAAAAGTTTCATGGAGAAAAAAAGACTTCCTCGTGTCTGAAAGCCATGAATGCAGCTATTGCTTTTCAGCAACAAAACTGCCATTAGCAGTGGCATACATAGCAGGACAAAGGATATCGAATTAACCCCTTCTCAACTCTTAGCCTTCTCATTTGTACAATCTCACAAACTAAAAGCTTGATCATTACTAAAGGAAGTCACTTCTTCATCTTTCTACCATAAGTATGGATCAAATATACTATTAAATATCACTGAAGTTACAAGCCTTTACTGTTTCCCACATTACCTTACCTCTGCTTGTTCTGCTGCTTTTGCAATTGGAATAATTTTCTTAACAGTAAGAAATGCGAGTGAAATAAATTACACCAAATCACTCCTCCTACTCTTCTTACAGGTACAGAATCCTGTTTCCAGCTTACTTTAACAACCTTTACTAAACAGACTATTCTTTAAATTCTCATTTTTTTCCAAGTATTTCATTTTTGCTACTAACTTACTTAATATGTGATACACACATATATACAGAAACTCAACACTCAAAATCAGCCACTTTGCTGCACAGTTGGAAAGAATGTTTACTCACTATATTTCTGTGCATGTGTCCCACATATTTGCCTTCTCCTTGCAGCAGCACAATGCTTTTTACTTGCATTCAGTCTGCATTCTGCCCTGGTTTATGTTTTCCCAAGTGACCCCTATGCATGACGTAACTGTGGTTTCTTCCAAATACCTAAATGTTTATCTGCCAATGCAGAGTTGCAACTGGATTCCTTATTTGCTTTCCTTAAATGAAGCAAAAGCTTCATGTGCATTGTGTTGGCCTCACCCACAAGTTCTCATTCTACCTTTCCAATCCTTATCCTCATCACACGACAGTGTGAGTGAGCAGCTGCATGGGATCTAGCTATCTGTTCTATGTGGTTAACCCACAGCAGCACTGTCTAGAGCCTCACCAAAGGAACACTGGTCCTTACAGTTAAATACATCATAGCTTTCTCTGCTGAATCCTATTTTGTTGATTTTAATCCTTTTTTTTAACTGTAGCTTCTCCATTCGTTGCCACTTCTGCATTTTCTTAAAATCCCAATCATTTCCAGCTGATAACAGAAAGCATGGTAGATAATACAGACTGCCTTCAAAATACCTTTTGACAGGTCCTGTCAGCTTGACAGAACAAAACTCCCTTCCTCAATCAGACACTCATTTGAAACAGAGTAATTTCACTTCAACCAAACTACAGCTATAATACCTTTAGATATTTCTGCAGTTAGAAGGGCACAAAAAAAGAACTCATTAATTTATATCACATTTTTCTTGCTGACTCATTCAAAAGTTACAGTAACATGAATCAAAAAATATTTGCATCATCATCATCAAAAAAAAAAAAAACAAACCTACTGTCCCACTTTCAGAATAGCTACTACACATAAAAAGAATGGAAATCACACCAATTCAACAAGATGGGGAACTACAGGTCTGCCTGACTTCAGTATTGGGGAAGGTCATGGAGCAGACTGTCTTGACTGTAATCGTGCTGCATGTGAGACAACCAGGGGATCAATCCCAACCAGCATGGTGGGTTCTTGAAAGGCAGGCCCTGCTTCATCCACCTTATCTCCTCAGAAAGAGCAGTGAGGTACTGGAACAGGCTGCCCAGGGAGGTGGTGTAATTGTTGTTCATGGATGTGCTCAGGAAAAGGGGAGATGCCACACTGACTGACGTGGTCCAGAGCTGTCAA